AAAAAGTAAGTGATTTGACAGGCAGGATTTTCTACAAATGAGAACGTGTGTTCACTATTAAGAAGATACTATATGATATATTCTTTTCAACCCAAAGCTATTCCTAATCCCAAACCTCCCAGCTCATCTGCTCAACAAACAAACAAGCCTGTTCATTTTAGTAATAGCAACGCCCAACCACACAACTCCAGTGCTTGCTGAGCCTGTTCCTTACCACAAAATAGACGTGGCACTCATTCCTGCCCAATTTGTATTAGTGAAAAACTCAGAGAAACGACATGCAAACTCATTTTGAAAATGGTGAGCCTCATTGTGCTTCTGTGATTTTTTTAAGAGGCCGCTTCTCCAATGGACAGGTTCTGTGCTAAGGAAGCTCTTTAGGTGTACCACCCAATTCTGCCTTCTTAATGACCCCACGGAGTACTAGCCTTCCCCTCTGATGCAAGGGGAAGAAGTTGGATCTCAGAGAGGTTAAGTGACTTGCAGAAGGTCACTCAGCTGGGTGGTGGTAGTGCCAGGAGCTCATCCTGTGTCCATTTATTAATTACCAGGCTTCAAATGCCTGTTCTCCCTGATGACTATCACTGCCCTCACAATGAGTTTCACTGTTTTTTCATCAGGATGCTCCTAGACCTGAGATGTAAGAGCCTTAGTTTTATCACAAGAAGTTGCTATGGAGATATTGTGAGCATCCATCTCCAGAGATGCACAAACAAAGCAGCAGGAGCCACAAACCTTAACAGATGTCCTTCAGGAATAGTCATGACTAACATTGGAAGAAAGGAAAGTGATTGCTGGAGTTGAGCTCTTACAAAATGAAATATCCCAGCAAATGTATAGATCAAACTCTGGGCTATAGTGTGGTCCACTCACAGGGGGGCATAACATTAGGATATGGGAGGCCTGGCCGCTGTAACTCAGTTCGTTGTGTGCCCTCAGACAAGTCCTTCCCCCCTCAATTTGTGTTTCACCACCTGTAGAATGAGGATGTAGAAAGCAACTCTGACCAACTCCCACAGCCCCTGATAATTCTCTGGGTGTACAGACCTTATCGGTCCTAAGGCAGCAGGCAGTGTTCCAATGGCTTGGAAAATCGTGTTAATGGAAACATCAGGCTGGCTGGAATACTCTAGGGAGTAGTGAGGTCTGTAGCAAACCAAAACGCTGCAGCGCAACTAAAGAGAAGACGTCTGCTTAGCTCTAGCTCATTTTGCTAAATGAGAGTGAGAGCCTAGGGCTTAGCATTTTCAAGAAAAACCAAATACTTGGTTTTTTTCCATGTTAAAAATGTTGCAGTTTGTAAAATATTGGGTAAATATGTTTCCCCATAGGCCACAGTTTGCAACCCCTGCTTCCTGGAAAAGTATAAGGAACCATTCAGGGAAATCTTTTCCTCTGTTACAAAAAATCAGTCCCTACTGAGGTGGAACACAGCAGCTGGTTAGCATTGCTCCTGAGTGTTATATAAAAAAAATTAGAGAAGCATTTTGGGATTTAAGTCAGTTCAGGGAAAGTGGCTCAATAAAGGGCAAGCAAGATGCTAGAAACTGCCTGTCACATCTTCCTCCTACATTTTATTTTTGTCTGTCACTCTCAATTAAACAGAAGTGTCTGCCCTTCACTTTGGATTTCCTGCCTGGGGTGGTTAATTGAATTTTAATTAATGGCAACTTTAAGGGCACAGATGAAATCCTAGCTCGAGGGAGATGCACACAGAACTGTAGATGCAGAAAGCTTTTCTGAGATCGTATCAGCCCATCCCTTTCATTTCATGAATGAGGAAAGTGAGGCAGGGAAGTCTGACTTGCACGGGGTCCCTTAGCTCTGAGTCCAGGGCTCACAGAAAGCCTCCAAGCTGCCCTTGTGATGCAGTCCACCCAGCCTTCAAAAATGACATTGATCTGAAGAGCCTGGTTTCCAGCATCAGGAATTCGTGTTGTGTTGTGTGGAACAGAGAGATGGCCTCTGAATTCTGACATCATCCCTCCCCAGGGAAGCAGGGAGTCGAGGGGTTTCTGTCAGTCCAGCAAGCTCTTGGCTAGGTACAAAGTCAGGACAGCAGGAGCCTCATGTAGAACTCCTAATTTATCAAAGGAGAGGAAATGCTGACTCTTGGTGTTTGCTCTTTCTTCTATCACAATCATCTTGTAATCCTCATGTCCCCTTGGAGAGCTCGCTAAACCCTATTCAAACTCCAGTTCTCCAGTCTGTCACATTCTAAAGAATTCTGCCATTTGTGTAGAATTTGCTAAAGATTTGGGGGAGAGTGAACCAAAGAAAGAAAGCGATCACATCTTAAACTCCATAGCCTTTCTCTCTTTGTCTGTCTCTCTCTGTGTCTCTGTTTCTTCTCGCTGTCTCTTTCTGTCTCTGTGTCTCTGTCTCTGTCTCTCTTTCTCTCTCTCTCTCTCTCTCTCTCTCTCTCTCTCTCTCTCTCTCTCTCTCTCTCTCTCTCTCTCTCCCCCTAACCTGTTTTGAGCTCTTTCTCTAGAGAAGCCAAGGCCTGGTCGTCAGCATTAGCATTAACCTCACTGCTGTTTGGATCTGGCTCTGATACTTGCCAGTGAGGGGAAAGTGAAGAATCTTGGAGAGTGAAGAAGTCCCTCAGAAACTCGGGTCATGAGTTTAAGGAGGACATGACCTCAGTCAGTACATTCTGAAGTGACACAAATCACGAGCGTGCATGCACACACACATATACCCATAACCAGTACTCTGGCTCCTTCGCTCCCCCAAATCCACATTCCCCTCACAGGACTTTCCCGATCTACCCCTACCCCTTCTAGGACTTGTCATTCAGTCCAGCCCACCCACAATAATCATGGATCCTGACCCCAAGAATGCTGCCCCTCCGGAGAAACCTTCTTGCTCCTACTCCACTTCCTAAACATCAGGTCAGGAATGTTCTGTACCTTGGATTTTTTTAAAAACAGCAAATACCAATCACCATCCTTAAGGTCCAGGCATCAACTTGGTGAGGAACAACTGGTATACATAATTCAGGATCAGAAGCATGGCATAGCTAAACATATTCACCCCCATCTTCTTCTACCGTTTAAAAGTCAACTCCTGTAGTTATTACAAAAGAAAAGTCAAAACCAGTTCTGGAAATACACATTGGACTTCCTGAGCTTACAGTCTGGGTGCTCACTCAGTATAATAAATCTTGTCACATTTGCCTCAAATTATACACCTTTTTAAATTATCTCTCAAATTGTGACAAAAGTCACTCCAGATCCACAGTATGTTGCATGGTGTTTGGAAGGATCCAGAAAGAATTCACACCCTGAGCCAGGTTTTCTCACTTTTTCTTTCTTACTTTCCTTCTTTCCTTCCAACCTTATTTTCTTAGTTCTTCCTCCCTTTGTTCTTTCCAATCGTTCTTTTTCTCCCCTCTTCCCTTCTTCCTTTCTTCTTTTCTTCCTTTCCCTTCTCCACCATACCTCCCTCCTTCCAACTTTCACTCCTTCTTCTCCATCCTTTCTTCTTCATTTCTAAAATCTGTCCTTCTTCTATCTTTCCTTTAGACCACAAAATTCAAACTTCCTGTGGTACGAAACACCACCACCCACAAGCCAAGCCGGCGGGGCTCCATACTCAGCCTGTCTCGGACCAGTGGGGGATCCTCCCCCCAGAGCAGCATGATCTCTATGAATCCTGGCTCAGAGGAACCCCAGAGCTTGATCACCCAGGTGACTAGCAGCAAAGACATTGAGGATAATGAGTCTTCTTCAACAAAACCAGATGAAGAACCTCTTCATATCTGTAAGTTCTCCCTGAGGGGTGCCTTTCTCCCTTTAGGTCTTTGCAAGCTCCTCCTGCTTCCTCTTCACTACCACTCAATGAATGGAGACACAGAAGTCCCCAGCCCTGTTCAGTCTTCTTGGATCCCTTTCTTTTTTCCAGCAGAGATAAAAATATACTCTATAATTTGAACTACTCTGAGCCTTCCTCCCAGGGGGCCACTCCGTGGCCACTTGTTGAATTTTAAAACTACATTTTATTTAGCCTTAATTTATTTAGAATACTGTCATTGCAATGTGTAATCAATATAAAATTTAGTGAAATGGTTTATATCATTTTTACACTAAGTCTTTCAGATTCAGTACCTACTTTTAAACAGCCTTGTTGAGGGATTATTTACATACCATAAAGTTCACTCATTTGAAATGTACAATTTGCTGATTTTCGTAAGCTCACAAAATTGTACATCCATCTCCACAATCTGATTTTAGAACACTTTCATCAATTTAAAAGAAAACTTCATACCCATTACCCATTTCTCTCCCCCCTCTCCAACCAGTCTCCAAGCAGCCACAAATCTATTTTCTGTCTCTACAGATTTGTCTTTTCTGAACAGAGATTCACTTGTCTTTCTTGTGATCCCTCACCCGGAAACAAGCCTTTTCAGTAGCCCACAGTGTGGGAGACACAGACCCTTTGAGACATCCATTGCATGTTATAGGTATTTGCTCAAGAAGAAAATTCATGTAAACACACACACACACACACACACACACACACACACCTGCCTCCTTGGCCAGCATTCTTTTACACTATCTTCAGTGCATGTGACAACCAAGGTTAGGCAGAACTAACAAGGATTGGGTGCAGCATAGCTCCAAGAATGGTGGTAAGGAGGTCAAAATAGGCCAAGAATGTGCATAGGACCCTGGTAGTCAGAGCCAGAGACGGGCAGAAATGCAACCATCCAGGCAGTGGCTAGGACACAGAGTAGGAACAGCAACAAGAGAATCCCTCCACCTCTCCCTGTCAACAGAGGATGAGAAAAGTCCCCAAGCCCTGAAAAGCTGTTCTCCAAACATAAGCATAAAAAGGACCTAAGCTCAACCATCAACAGCTATGTGAGTCTTCTGGATTTCTTGAATATGGATTTCCTTCAATACTTGTTTGTGGAGCACGTGCTATATGAAAGGACGTTTTAGAAGAAAGAGGCAGACTATAGACAAGAAAACCAGAAGCAGCAACACAATTGTAGATAATACATGCTCAGAAAATAATAAAACTTAATACTGGGCTGAAGAGAGGTTACTGATTGGAGTGAGGATGTTTCATCCAGGATGGTCAGGGAATGCCTCCCTCAGCTCTGACCTTCAAGCTCAGACCTGAAGAATTGAGGCTGAGGACAGAAATAGGTCCAGAGCATAACAACCTCCTAGTCTCCTTGCCTCTTGTCCTGCCTCCACTGGCTGATTTTTCTCCATGTTGTGCCACAGAACTTTCTAAATCAGATGTTTGATCTGGTACTGCCCGTTTTAACATCCCTCCATGACTCCCTGCTGCTTCCAAGGCATTGCTTTTCATCCTCTTCTAAGTTTCCTGTAATTGGCCCAGATTTTGCCACTCCATCCCTTAAACAGGGCCGTCCAACCTCCCCGCAGTGCATTCCTCTTCTTAAACAATCCATACCCTTAAATAATGTATTTGATATTCTCGTTCACCCTGACTCTTCATCCTGTAGATGCCTACTCAACCTTCAAGACCCAGCTCAAATGTCCCCTCCTTTCTGAAGCCTTCCCTGACTCCCCTTGGATTTCTACTTTGCAAGCCTCTTAGCATTTTATATGGGTTCTTATTGAGTACTTAATTTAAATTTAAAACTACATCTCACTCTATCAAGTAGAAACTTCTTTTGAGAAGCTTCTACAGAGATCCAAAAAATAGTGATTTAAAAGAGATTAAAAAAATATTTTTAACAGTGAATCCAAAAGGTTATCGTGGATCCCATTTTTTTTTCCATTTACTCTGCCACCCTCCACAGGACTCATGACCCAAGATGGCTTCCACGTTCTAGGCTTAAAACAGAAAGAAAGTAGACAAATATAAATGTGCCCACACAGCTGGGCATGGTGTTGCATGTCTCTATCCCAAGAATTGTGGGAGGCTGAAAGAAGAGGATTGCAAGTTCTAGCCCAGCCTGGGTAACTTAGCATCTAGCAAGACCCTGCCTCAAAATTTAAAAAAATTTAAAAGCAGAGGATATACCTCAGTGTAAACACCCTAGGTTCAATGCCTAGTATTTTAAAAAAGTGCCCACACTCAGCTGTATTCAAGCAACCTTCTCAGCAACTCCATTCTGTACTTCTACTAAAATCTCATCCCTCAGAAACTTAATTTCCAAATCATGTCCAACTGCAAAAGATGCTAGAGAAATTATCTGGTAAATCTTTATTCTCACCATGCGGGAAGAATCATAGCTCTGTTGCTAAGGAGAAGGGGAGAAAGGAATGAGAGGTCAGTGCAGGCGTGAATGTCTTGCCTTCAGCCTGGTACACAATAATGGCTACGAAGTGCATTCCCATCGGAGATCTGCTTCTAGAAAGGAAAGGCCTTCTACTTTAGTCCCCGATTCCTCCACTTATACATTAACCTCCATTCTATTTGTCAGAGCCTTGACAAAAGTAGATTAAGTTCCCAGTCTCTCGCTGCCTTCTAAAACTTCCTCACATTGATTCTGAATTCATGAATCCTATTCCGAGAGATGCACCATTTGACCAAGGTCTAATTTCCAGGGTGAGCAACATAATGAAGTCTTTGTAGGTGAAAATCACTGAAGACGGCAGGTTGTGGCTTCTCCATGGACAGACACCCTCCCCAAATCAATGGCAGGGGAATCCCAAGAAACTATTGCTATTCCTCCTACCAGTTATAGAACTGTTAGAGGAGAAACTCACTGAAATAGTAATTCAAAATGTGCCCCCTGTACTGTACTTTTTGTTACCAACCCGTGTAACAAAAAGACCTCCTTTATTTTCCCCAAAGAAGAAGAAAAAGATGAATTGAGTCACTCAAAGGTTGGATTCTTAGACAACCAGGGGTTAGAAGGTGGAGGAAGAAAGAATTTCTTTTCTCTGGTGATGCAATTTGGCCTTTGAGACGCTGGGATGCCATTTTCTCTGAGCCATGGGTCGTAGCACCCCACACCCCCAGGAACTGAGAACTGAGATGATTCCTCTGTGTGTGAGCATCAATCAAGAGACAACCTTCCTCAGGGAAACTCCACACTGTAGCATCTGCAGCCTTCCCAAACAAGTCCATTCTCCCGGTAACTGTGAGAAGTCCAAAGACTTTGTTCAATTTCACACATGTCCAACCTCAGCTACATGATGCATTGCCCTTCGTACTGGTACCATTCTTGCTCAGAGGCATGTAGCCAGCAGAAAAAAATTCTGTGATTCACTGGGCATAGAGCTTTACATGTAATTCCCTAGCGGTGTTGCCCAGTGCGCCAGGTCACTAGGGCCATTTCCTGTATCCATTCACCCTCTGTCTGATTTGCTTATGGATAGGACAGGAGCAAAGGGAGCACTGTCCATGGTTGCTGCTTGGTGCCTACGAGAAAAAAGAAAGAAGAGGAACCAGTTGCCACTCTCTCACTGACAGACTTCTATCATACCCCAAGGATTCTGGGATGTGTGAGGACAATGTATGTGGGCATCACAAGACCAAAATGAAAGTTAGATTCAGGCAAAATGAAGTTGTGTCCACAAATTGAAGATAGAGTGGAAAATGGTGAAATCTTCATGTTTATCACAACCCAGATGACTCCCGAGTTTCTAAGAATTGGTACTCTCCCCAGCACCCAGTGAGTGATTGCCCTCATCAACAGGGCTGGACAATTGCTCTTGGGAAGCTCCAGGCTTTGGGCCTCCATTCCAGGTATGGCTTTTAAGATCTGAGCATGTTTTGACTACAGGCACCCAGCAAGGGGTAAAAAAATGTCTTCACTAGCAGTACCCTCCTTCATGGACACCTACATACTAGCTCAGTGTCCCCCAGATCCCTGAATTTTTCTCTCCTTAGTTGTTCGCTTATCCATTCTGCAACTATTGACTGAGATCCCATGTGCCAAGAACGCTACCAGTGCTATCAATAGAAAGACAACTAGGATGTGACCCCTGGCCATGAGGAACTCACAGGCTAGAAGGAAAGGCCCGCAGGTGAACCAGCAATTGCCATCTCATGAAATCAGTGCTGTGAGGGAAGTGAGGAGAGCCGTGTACTGCAGGAGTCCATAGGCGGACCCATTGCCAGGTGGAATAGATGGAGAAGGAGGAGAATACGCCCTCAGAATTCCAGAGAAGGGAGGAGACTCAGAGACCTACCAAAAGTTTACAAACTTTTGTAAACTTCAAGCCCTCTACTCTGTATTCTGAGACAGTACAAACACCACCAGTATTTTCTATCAAGGGAAAAAATAAAAATCAAATATTATTTTTCTTCTAGCCACGTGGCATGGAGCTAGCCATATAGCCAGCCATATAACATGTTTGCTCACCTGGGGACACAAACAGGGTGCACTGTTGGGAATATATGTTCAAGACTCTCCCTTCAGTTGCTTAAATTCCATTCATTGCCAGTGTAAGATTTTCTTTGTTTCTGGAATTATTTGGAAATTATCTCAAAAGTCTCCCCTTCTTATTTCCTGGGAAGGCTCTGATCTTCCAATGACTGTCTGTATGTGTAGCTCCTCCTGTTCTCATTCCCAGCTTCTTCTGCTCTCTCTTGTTTGTAAATCTGGGGAGAAATTCTGGAGAAGATACTCACCGAGTTACAACCTCGCACGGCGGCATTTCAGCACCGAGGACAGCTTCCAACTGGAGGAAAAGGAAGTTCTGAAGCCCATGGTTTTCTAACCAAGCAAGTTCCAAGTGAGAAATAAGTGAAGAGACTAGAAATTTACACATATGCACCCATAGGAAGCATGACCATTCACTTCCAACTTACCATTTTCTTTTTTAAAAACATAGTTCATATTTCATTTTTCAGCTTCTGAAAGTGTTGGTGTATTAATTTCGTGACGAAATGCCACAGCTCAGGTGGCTTAAAGCAACGGGAATTTATTGCCTCAAAGTTATGGATGCTGTACATCTAAAATCAAGATACTAGCAGGGTCATGCTTTATCTGGAATCTATAAGGGAGACGACTTCCTTGACTGTTCTAGTTGGTGGTAATTGCTGGCCATCTGTGATTTTGATATATATCACTCTAATCTCTGCCTCTAATATCATATGGCCCTCTTTTCCCTGTGTATGTTTCTTTGTATTCTTATTAGGACACCAGTCACATTGCACTAAGGGCCTGTTGCACTCTAATATGATTTAATCTTAATTCATTATGTCTGTGTTGGCTCTATTTCCAAAGCAGGTCACATCCTAAGTTACTAGAAACTAAGACTTCAGTATATCTTTTGGGAGACATGATTCAAACCATAACAACTAGTTCTGAGGAGGTATTTCTACACTACATAAAAACTAATGGTATCAAGTGTGAAAATAAAAGGCGACTAAGAGGAGTGGTGGGAGCCATAGGAAGCTGAAGAGCACCCACTTATCTAAAGGCTACACTCAGCATGTAGCAGGAACAAGGGAAGGTAGCCCCATCTCAGACTCTTTCCCAGGGAAGCTAGAGCTGTCAAATTTTATGCAGAGCCTCATAGGTTTAAAAGGTTGGCCTATACCTCATACCTAGTGAAATCTATTTGTGAGCTTGATGTAGCCTGTGAATCAACAGTTTGAAAAGCCCGGCTTATAGAGATCAGAAGGGGTTTCCTGAACAAGATATCCTCTTAGAATGGGTAAGAGCTCCCTCTGATTGCAGCAGAGTTTAATGTGAGTAAAGGAAAAACAAAGAACAGCCAGATCCTCCAAGGCCTCATAGGACATGTAGAGTTGCCAAAAGAAAAATGAAGTCATTGATAGGTTTTAAGCAGGACAGTACATGGTAAGATTTATGACCGTGATAAGCCACCCATTTGGACCCCAGTGGACTCTCTCTCCAGCTCTCTGACACTCAAAACCAAACCCAGTCTGGAGTCTGGCCATGCACAATACTACTTCAAGTTATGAGTAATCTCTTCTGTTCCCATTAGATCTGCAGAAGCTCCTGGAAATGGTTCGGGAAGAGGTCCGTAGGACAATTATGATGGAATATGACCTGCAAAGAAAAGCTCCCAGGTATTTCTCTTGACGCATAAATGATAGCAGCCTAATGATGTTCATATTAACAATAGCAGTGACCAATTATTGCGTACTTTCTCTGTGGCAGCACTGTTCTATATACTTGGTTCATGTGTCTTACCTTCTGGGTTTTTACACAACCCTACAAGGTGGGTATTATTATTTTTTATATTACAAGTAAGGGAATGAGGCTCAGAGAGGCTAAATGACTTGTTCTGGACCACACAGCATACCAGTGAATGGTAAGATCATGACTTAAATTCAGATCTTTCTCATTTCAAAACTCATCCTCTTAACCACTCCACTACACTGCCTATTGAGAATCCGATGCATTTTCAATCATCCTTGTCATGAATATTTATGACTATGCATAGACTCTGTAGTAGTTCTTATCATGAGAGGTGTGCTAAAAGAAGAGTTTGGAAATATGAGAGGGAAAAGGGCATATTTACCTACTCTGGGATGAAGATGAGGATCACTTTATTCTTCCTAAAAAACTTTAAGATTTGGATGAAACAGGATACCAAAAACAGTAAGGCACAGACAAGACAGGATGGGGAAAATGTGTGCAGGCAGCAGTGTGTAAGTGTGATCAGAGGGGACCATGGCACCTCCAAGGAGAAGAAATACGGCCAAACTGGGATGAGGAGAGGCATACACTGGTCTGGGGATCTCATCTTAGGGAAGCTCACCTCCGGGATTTTTGTTTTGTTTTGTTTTGTTTTGTTTTGTTTTTCTCCGGTACCAGGAACCGAACTCACGACCTTGCGCTTGCCAGGCAGGCGCTTTTGCCGCTGAGCTAAATCCCCAGCCCCTCACCTCCGGGGTTCTGAGCAACAGGCATCTTGTGAAGTTTCAAGGCAGAAACAAATAGGACTGGTTCATGAAAGGGTAACGTTGGACATGAACCCAAGGTGTCACCCTTCTGCTGGAAAGCCCTGTCCTTGGGACTTCAGACCTCTAAAAGCCTCAGAAAGAGTGCAAGGTAGAGTTAGAGTTCCCTTCTCAAGTGTAGATCCCTCTGAGCAAGCAAATTACTGCTTGCAAATGAGGCAGGAGAAGAGGTTCATCATCACCTTCAGCCTACCGAGATGCTGGCTGTGACTTACGGGCTATTGTTATTACCATAATTACAGATCACTGAGCACTTCCGTGGCCATCACGTCCTGCCTCTGCCTGTTAATTATGAATTTGTCTGCTGGGGCCTCAACTTCCATTGAGATTCTGGAAGGTGGCACGTGGAGGCACCCAGAGACAATGTTGACCTATAAGGCTTGTGCTGTTGAACCTAGTTTGTCAGTATTAGAGGCACGCAATGAAGAACATCAGCCCAGTCAGACCTCTTCCTTTGTAAGCGCTCACAGCAAGGGCACTGGTTTTGAAGTCAGGCTGATATGAGTTAAAAACCTGGTGCCTTTGGGAAAATCACTTGGACCTTCTTGAAACGTCCTGTCTACTTTGCTTTCCCATCACTGGGACCAAACATCTGACACCCCCAGCTTCAGAAAGGAGGGGTTTATTTTGCTAACTGTGTCAGTCCACAGTGAGTTGGGTGCTAGGCAGAAACTGCATTGTGGAAGGGTATGGCGGAAGATAGCTGCTCATCCCATGACAACCAAGAAGCAGAGAGAGAAGGGAGTTACTGGAGCAAGAGTGCCCCTTTCTAGGTCATGCTCCGCTGACTCACCTGCAGCCAGCACATTCAACAAAGGAACTCGTCAATGGATCAATCCACCGAGGAGGAAGTGCCCCCTTGATCCAACCACCTTCCAAGCACAGGAGACTTAGATCTAAGCCCTCACACCTGCATTTTCTCATCTATAAAATGAGATTATGTAGCGCCAAAGTATTGGCCTTGAAACCCCATACTCTAGGGACAAGCGCCATGCCATCATTTAATTGCTGTGTGACATTAAGTAAATTGTTTCACCTCCCTGAGTCTGATTCCACTTCTCTAAAGTGAAGCTCATTAGCTATCCAAAGGAGCAGGAGTGTGAATTAGATATTACTCTTGTAAAGTATTATGAATATTATGGAGATGATGTCTATTTCAGTGAGTCATTTAAAGCGCTTAGTGAGATAATGCATTTATTTAACAGGATAGTTGATGCCTGGAATAGAGTAAGCACTCAATAAATGACACTGTTGGTGGAGGGTAGGGCTGACATCAGTTTTATTTCCTACATAGTGCCTTGTGAAATCTTCACAGCACCATTAACCATCACTGATGCTCCATCTCCAAGATGGAGAAGAGTGGTGATGAGCGACTTCCACAAAGGTCTTCAAAGACAGAATCACACTCCAGCCTGGGTCTCAGGAGACCCATCACGTGGCCCCTGCATTTAATCTAGTGATAATATAACCATGGTTACAGCACAAGAATCATTGGAATTTCCCTTCCTCATTAATTCCTCTGGGAAAGAAATCTCCCTAATCTCTCTCTAAGGCGGCAGCCACAGAAGGCTTCTGAGGAGCTGCGGGGAGACAGGATCAGCAGCATTTTCTGCCCCCTCACCTTGGAGTTGGGGCCTCTTTCTGACTTTGCACAGAAACTGTCCTCCCAGTAAGGTTAACAGGAAATCCTGAGGTGTGTGGGAACCCAAAAAAACCAGCCTTGTCCAGCTGCAGACTGTAAGCCAGACTGGCACCAAATCATAAGAAGCATTTCAGATAGGTAGGCACTGTTTCACTGAATGCTGAGGAGTTCTACAGGGCTCTGTGTGTGTGTGTGTGTGTGTGTGTGTAATTGTATAGGATACATATATATGTGTGGAATTCTAAGGATATATGTATATGTGTGGAATTCTAAGGATATATGTATATGTGTGGTTCTAAGTGTGTATGTGTATATGTGTGTGAAGTTCTAAGTATGTGTGTGTATATGTGTGGAACCCTAAAGAGTATATATGTGGAATTCTAGGTATACATGAGTGTGTGGATTTCTAAGGGGTGTGTCTACACATGTGTGCATGTAGAATTTAGAGATATATATACCTATGTGTTCAATTCTAAGTGTAGGCATGTGTGCGTAGAAGTCTAGGTATATGGGGGTAGTATCCTATAATGTGTGTGTGTGTGTGTAATCCTTGAATGTGTGTGTGTGAATCTAGGGGTGTGTGTTTGTGCACATGTGTGGTTTTAGATGCAGCATCTGGAGGACCCTCCTCCGTTCACTGAATGAAGATCTCTGGAACTACAGCCAAGGAGATGTGTTCTTACCAATTTCCAGGGAATTCCTATGCCAGGTGGTTCTGAAGAGTCCCACTCTAGGAAGAGGACTCCCATCCTCTGTTCTCCCACCCACATCAGCTGCCGCAGGAGCATGATGTGCTCAGCACTTTGTTGACAGACCCTCTTGCTTTGCAGCCTCCTGCCCATGATCCACAAGAGTGACTCTGTCGTTAAGGAGGGGCAGGCTACCCACAAGTCAAGGTAGGAGGGCCTGGAGCCCACAGCAGGTGGATGGGAACACTCCTGCCCACTACAGGCCATGGCAAGAGGAGCAGAGAGTGTTGTGACCTCACTGGAATCAAACCCCTTCCTTCAGGTGGCTGGGTGTGAGAATCCAGGCAGTTGTCCCAACAATTATATGTGAGAAATTTTAAATCCCCTAGCAATAGAGAGCTGTTTGGAGCATGTAATACAGGACTATCCGTCTGCTCTTCTTTTTTTTAATAAATTTTATCCTGCATATTTGAGGTTTATGGCATGATGCTATGGGATACAGATGGATGAACCTGGATGACCTCATGCTAAGTGAAATGCCTTTCCCCGCTTGGGTGATTTGTAATGGAGAAGTGAAGGGCTTCCCTCAGTTGCTTAGGGAGTACTCCTAGATCTCCTCTATATCCTGGGATTTGTACTAGGCTTTGAGGTTTCTGTAGCAAACAAACAAATGCATTCTTTCATGGATCTCACTGTCTAGATCTTTTTGCTCCATAGATGCCATATCAGTTCACGGAAGCCTATGGATTCCTTTCAGAAAGATGTTTTAAATACAAACCACAAATTACAAAGGACAAAACAATTTGGAACATAGTAATCTCTGGGCTTCTTTACTGAAACCGTATTTAATAAGACATAACAGCGGGTCTAATAACTGTTGTAATTTTGGATTAGTTAAAGCATAAACAGTTTTTCAAAATACTTCCCATAATTATAACCTGATATGCAAATACCTGTGATTTTGATTTCAGTTAAAAGCTAGTTGCAATAAAGATGAAGGTCCATCTACACTGATGGATCCTTGAATTCTGCCCATGCTTATGAATCGCTAGTTTAATAAGAATGTTATGCATTTCTCAAATAATTAGCCATAAAATCATGTTTATGAAAGTGTTCTAAAGAAGAAAGAAGGGGGATTGGGAGAACTTTTAGCGCCAATTCTGAAACAAGGCAGAATTTGACATTTAAGCTAAGATTTGGAGAACAAAGAATTGGTTTGTTTATGGGAATGGCATTGGAACAGGTGCAAGAGGCCCCGAGGCAGGAGAAATCTTAAAAGCCCTGAGAAAGGACCAATGTGGTTGAAACTCAAAGAAGACTAAGGGAAGGGGGAATGATGGGGCCTTTGCTACTCTATTTGTTTCGCTACCTAATAATACCACACTCTCTCACCTCTCACCTCCTCTCTTACTGTCGAAATTATTAAAAAAAAAAAAAAGCAGAAGGGAAACAGGAAGCAAGTCAGAGTCTTCATGGTCTTCAAAAGATTAATCTGCAGAAATTGGGGGCAATTAGCCTCCCAGATTTTATTACTGGGGACCTGCATCCCATCCAGGTGGTATAACGGTTTACCTATCACCTAGCAGACCTAAGACCTGTGAGTCCAGTCCCATGGACTTCTGGGAAAAGCAACAAAGGTCAAGGTCAGAAGGGAAGGGCACCCACATGGGAATCATAAGACAGTCTTACCTGTCAGAGACAAAGCAGTCAAGTTAGTTTCCAAGTCTATGGAAGAAACTGGGGCAGAGAGGGAAGGAGAAAAAGTGTTAGACAATGATGCTGAAGGCCCAGGTCACTAAAAGGCCACAGAGAAAGACAGAGCAGAGAGAGGGGCCTGAGCTGAGGTCAGCATCTCTCTCTAGGAGCCCTGCCAAGGAGGAGTCAGAGGACAGAGTATGCATGCAAGGAACCCAATCATCCCCTCCTAGAGAGGGCCACACCATGTGAGGAGCACAGATGAGGAAACTGATGATCCGGAAGGGAGTTGCTTGCCCACAGACAAGGAGGGACCCACTGGGTTGGGCTCTGAATCCAGCCCTGTCTTCCTCCAAAGCAGAGTAAAATGGGTGTTCATTCAGATCAAGGGCCCAGGTTAGAGAATTCTGATGTCTGTAATCCAAGCACTCTGGGAGGCTGGGGCAGAAAGATTGCAAGTTCTAGTTCAGCGTGGGCAATTTAACAACCTGACAAGATGCTATTTCAAGTTTCAAAAGGGCTGGGGACATAGCTAAGTGCAAAGGCCCCGCGTTCAATCTCTAAGAAGGGGAGGAGGGGGAAGGAGAAGCCAGAAGGAGGAAAGCGGGAGAAGGGAGGGGCAGGAGGAGGGAGAATCCCGTAATGAGGAGGCGCTCTGGGGTTGAGAGCACCAAAGACAACACAGCTAGGAGGACTCAGCCATCTCTTACCTACATGCACCTCACCCCATGTTCTGTGTTGAGTGCAAAGGGGAGGATGGAAGGGTCCAAAGCAAAGTTATCCTCCAGAGGGAGAGCCTGACTTTATATAAACAAAACTGAGACCCAGAAAATATGTGATCCTCTGACATTGCAGAGGCAGAAGACCAAAGCATACAGGACATGCCGTGGGCCCTAAAATATGGTAGGATTGAGCAGGTGGTAAAGGAACAAGGAGGGTCTTCAAGACATGGGATATGGCAGAAGAGAAGCCAGGGAGTGGGTAGGGGGAAACAGGCATTGAGTTCTGGGACCTGGATTAGAACCACCTCCTGTGCCTGACTCCTCGAGGCTTGCAGTTTCATGGGGCCCATGGCGGGAGGCTGCTTCTGAAAAGCACACTCAAGGCAACATGAAACCATCTCTTGATGTTTCAGTGAGAAATCCAGCACTACCAGTGGAGAAAGCCACACCCAGTTAGTCCAGAAGAAGACAAAAGGGTAAGTCAGCCAAGTGGGCAATGGCGGGCTCACTGTGGTGACCACACACTCTGCCTTCCCCTTCCCGCGGTTGAGTAAGTGACCCAATGCAGACCAGAGCCCAGAAGCCACGGACAGTGCAGGACAAGGGGCTTGCAGGCCAACGGGCTTGCAGCCAAGATGTCAAGGGACACACAGACAATAGCAAGAAGTTCCTCTGCTGTGCCAGGCACTGTGAGAAGCATTCTGCATTCGCTGCCTTGTTTATTCCTCAAAAGCAATCCTATGAGGCAAGGACGTGTTATCCTATTCTACAGAGGAGCAAGCTGAAAGTCGTCCACATGAAATATCCTGCCAGCCCCCACATAGCTAAGAAGGAACAGAGCTGGTATTTCAGCCTGAATCTCCCAGATCCAAATTCTATCTCACTGTCCTTAACGTGTGCCACACACTCAAGTGACCAGCTTTTTCACTGTGGGCTCATTTAATCCACCAGCCTGGTATTATTGGGAAAATCTATCCTTCTACACCCAGGGTTGCTAGGAGAAGCTCCAGGTAAAGGCAGAGAACTCAGGGGCCCAGGGAGAACAGAATGGGACCCTTGAGGCCTCTAGGGGGTGCCCCTTTGACTCCACCCCTCAAATTCTTCTTCTCTGTGTCCACAGCCATGTTAACCGTGACATCACCCAGTACAAGAGCGGGATCTCTAGCCTCATGAGGGCCAAGTTTTACAGCATAGCCCAGGAGGCTGGCTTCTGCCTGCAGGACAAGATGGAAGTCCTCATGAAGTAAGGGCGCGCCTGTGTCTAATTCACTCACCGAAGACTTATCTGGTACCTGCTGTGTGCTAGCAGGTGATGGGTGCTAGGGCTATACCAGTGCAATAACAAAGGCATACTCCCTTCCCTCAGGGAGCTAACAGTGTCCTGCAGAATTGGGGCAGCAACAAAACAACTGCATCCATAAATGGAGAGATCCAGAATTACAGGTCATAATCATCCCGTGCAGGAAAATGACAGGGTACTATGTCAAGGAGTGAGGGAAAGGGAGAGGGGGCAGAAAGAAGGAAGAAAGGAGAGAGGGAGAGAAAGAGAGAGAGGGAGGACAAGGGGGAGAGAAGAAGAAAGAAAGAGACAGACACTGACAGTGAGGAGGAGGAGCCATTGGAAAGGGAGGAGAAGGAAGAGGGAAGAGGTTTGCTCTTCTGCACAGTCCTCTCTAAGAGGTGACTTTCTTTTTTTTTTTTTTTTTTTTTTTTTTTTTTATGGTACTAGGAACCGAACTCACAACCTTGCGCTTGCCAGGCAGG